TTAGACAAAGTCGGTCAGCCCTCTAACACAGCTCTCGCCATTAACTCGCCTGTGTCTCAGCTCTCTCTACGCCCATCAGATCTCCAGCTCTCGAAGAGGAAAAACCTAGAAGCCTACCGGACACCTTAACTTATTCGAAAATAACTTAGTCGCGATTTTGATTTTTTTCTTTCGGGACTTAGTCTCAATCTCTATTAAGAGAGCTGTATCAACATTAACACTTTAATAAAGTGCTACCATCCAGCAACCTCTGACTCTTTGGCCATTCTCTGCGCTGCCTTGCCACTTCTTCAGGTTCTCACCGAGGTCGAGCAACCCAGGGAAGGAGCAGCGGTGCCTGTATTCTTCCATTGATCCCGTCATCCGGTAAGGAAATAATAAAATAATAATCATTCTTAATCAACCTTGATAATAACTTTGTATATTAGTTCGATTTATTCTAGGCCTATTGACAATTTTCCCAGAATCTTACTTGCCCGTATACAGACTTTAAATTTTTCTTTCGAGTTGAATTATTTAAATTTCAACCGATCCTCTGAGAACGCTCGAAGCGTATCCTAGAGTGTAGCGTCGTTCGAGTTAGTCACTCGATGTGCATTGAGTAGCAAATTCTACTCCTCTGCCGCTTTCACGGAGAGCTTCTCTGAAAGAATTTCTCCGTGGATCCCGTGCCGCTGTGACGTGACGTCTTGCACATCGATACTAGACTCAGAATCTAAGACTCGCTCCTAGAGGATCTGTCGAAATAATAGAATTTATGCACTGGCTTACAAGTTAACTATCGAAACATTTTATGAATTTTATACTTATCTGAAGTAAGCCAGCCGCTCTCACCCGTACCCTCGTCTGTATCCTTGAATCTCCAGACCTCTCGGTGCAGCCGCATGCTCCTGGAAATTCAGTATATGCTAGATAAATTATCATTCGTTGTACGACAATTTTCCCCGAATCCTACCTTCCCGTATACAGACTTTAAATTTTTCTTTCGAGTTGAATTATTTAAATTTCAACCGATCCTCTGAGAACGCTCGAAGCGTATCCTAGAGTGTAGCGTCGTTCGAGTTAGTCACTCGATGTGCATTGAGTAGCAAATTCTACTCCTCTGCCGCTTTCACGGAGAGCTTCTCTGAAAGAATTTCTCCGTGGATCCTGTGCCGCTGTGACGTGACGTCTTGCACATCGATACTAGACTCAGAATCTAAGACTCGCTCCTAGAGGATCCGTCGAAATAATAGAATTAATGCACTGGCTTACAAGTTAACTATCGAAACATTTTATGAATTTTATACTTATCTGAAGTAAGCCAGCCGCTCTTACCCGTATCCTTGTCTGTACCCCCTGAATCTCCGGACGTCTCGGTGCAACCGCATGCCCCTGAAAAATTCAAAATATATTAAATAAATCATTAATTGCTGTACCCCAATGAACTGTATATAGCCGAACGTTTCAACCATGATATGAGAACGAGTGAGATATACTATCATAATCTACATTCGTTTATCTCTCAATAATCCGTTAAGCCGTATTATTCGTCTTAACTCTATGAACCACCTTGCTGTGACTACATTTACCTTATAAAACCATTCATCTTAACAGGTACCTTTCTACGCATCATCGTAAGTAAACCCCTTTTGTGTTAAATCAATCGCATCAAACATACTAAATAGTCGTATTCCCTCGGTAGATGGTTAACCCCCGCCGAACTTCTTCCGTTGGACGCGAAATTCCCCTCCGTGCCGCTGGTATACGCCGCAGGCGTGCCTCCCGGTCGGTACTTAGGCTCCCTACAGCTCGTCAGTTGTTTGCCAACGAGAACGACTTAACAAGCAGAGTAACAAGGTACTCTCCAGTGCGTAGTTTCGCGCCCTCCCGCGCATACCCTTATCGTCCTCCCCGAAACCCTCCAGTGGTTCTTCAAGAGGAACAACAGCCCAGAGCCAGGCCGCCATCGCCCAATTACTCCCCCATCCAGGATTCATCTAATCCCAGCTACTCGCCGGTCAGGACACCGGAAGATCTTCCTTCCATACCGGAAGAACGAAGACCCATAGAACAAAGCACAGAAACTGAGGCTGGTCCATCCAACCCAGGTGAAGTTCTGGATCCCCCTGAACCAAATTTCTACCCGGAACCAGAGGACCTAGTCTTACCAAGCAGTATCCAACCCCTCGCAGGACTAACAGACGAAGATTTTATCGAGATCTACGAATACTTGCAGCGAGATAATTTCTTCAACAACCGCGAATAATAACCATATCTAGATATCGCCTTAGAAATGCTATAGAGAAGAACATTAACTACATACACACATCTATACGTATAACGATATACACTATCTACAACTGTCAAATAATAACAATAATAACAATAATAAAAATTTGTAAAGCTCTAAGGAAGTAAACTAATAAAAGAAAACAGATCAAAAAGGATAAATTGGGTCAGGTTCAACGCACCTAATTTATTTCCTATCGTCAATCCCTCTCCTGAAAGAAGCGCAAAAGATTCTTAGTCTCTCGGCGTCCTAGGGTATAGCCGGCTTGGCAGGTTGCCCTGAAATAGAAATAGAGAGAAGTTACAATTGCGTAACAAATAAATACGTGAGAAGTTACGATCGAGACGTAACAACGAAATCTCAAAACGTAACACCATACAACTTTTGTCTGAAACATTTCTTTCTAACTCTAAGTAATAACGAGATATTTGACTGACAAGAATAAAATGGGACACACTGTGTATAACATTTGTAAATATTTATATAATTTATATTTATTTTATTACAAAATTAAAAGTGTAAATAAAAGATAAATTTATTATTTACATTAGTTCAGCTGGCTACAGGTGTCCATCATATTAGTTTTCTACCAACGTTACGCATGTGCGACCGCCATATTACATGATTTTCGAGAATACATTTTACGTACATACAAAATCTCAATGGGAGTTGGCGATCGAGTTATAATATAGGTATCTGTGGATCGAACAAATCGTTAATTATTTGACTTCCGTCGTTTGAGATATAACCGGAGAGAAAAAAATATACATATATAGCTAATTTAACTAATTGACCTAACCAAAATCACAGACGCTAAAATGTATATATTAGTGTTTTCGAGCGATTGGGTTAGTAGTTCCGAGGTAGTTCATTAGACATCACTGATCAATCACAGCTATTCCTCAGAAGAATATTACTATTATATTCTTTCTTTTTTATTTTAAAAGCCGCTGTATATATTCTCATAAAATAGTAACGTTTATATGTTTCTACTAATTTATAATAATTTTATTAAACAAAAGATATTACATATAATATTATGAATAATAATAAAAATTTGAATCGCATAATAAAGTAATACAAATATCAATCACTTTTAGTATCAGTAAAACATTCTGCCTAAAATTGCGCGTTTAGTGATACAATTCTATGTTCAATATAATCGTAAAAAGAAATTATGATATACAATAATAAATTGAAAAATTCTTAGAAATCATATAGAAATCGTGTAATAAGAGATAAAAAATAAATCATTAAATCTCAATGTAAACAAAATAATACTGTTAAGTGATAATAAATACTGTTATGTTGTATAAAAATTCATATGGTATTGTGTATAGCATGTGTATAGCAATTATAGATATTAATATATAAGAAAAACAGATCATTTATTAATGTCCTCAAAAGTATTATTATATATAAATTATTTGTATATACATTTGCGAAGTCCTCGAAAAAAAAATTTGTTGTACATTAGTGAAAAAATCAAGATTAAAAAAAACAGATTGTAATGTATACATGAGAAACCGATACTCTTTGCATGTATACAAAGAAATTATTAAATATTTCAGGGTCCTCAAAAACGTCAATTGACAAATATATATATATATAGGGCATTCCACGCCAAATCGGACACCATTTAGCTTTTGCATCGCCGATTTTTTCGAAAATTTTTTATGTTTTAGTATTGGTTGAAAGAGGCCTCTATGATTTTTTTCAATTTTTTTTGTCGAATCGTTTTCAAGATATCGATTTTTCAAAAATTACGTTACTTTTTTTTTAGACGTCCATAAGTTTGCGAAAAATGGGCCAAATGGGACGTTTTTTTTTGAAATTTTTCTTTTTAAACGCACTTTTGATAAAAAATATCGAAAAAATTTTTCAAACCGTATTTCTATAAGATTTTCAAGTTTTAAATATAAATTGTTGATTTACCAAAAACACGTACTGATCGATTTTCTTAAAAATTTTTTGTAAAAAACTGTCATTCATTCCACAACTTTTAGCCTAAGTAGATAATGGGATAATGATGGGATCTATTTTTTTTCGATTTTTTTATTTCCATATTTTAATTATCCGTGTTGAAAATAAATATTAATCTTTTTTTCAGGCTCACCGGCAACGGTCATTGTTATTTATTAAATAAAATAGATATATCTTAATCATTTAATGAACGATGACCGATAATATTTATTTGAATAAACCACAATATATACAAATTTCAACTCCTCAACAATTATATGTAGGAAGCCGGGCTTTACAGATAACTCGATGTGCTTATTGAACTCGCTTTATTTCCAAAAACTGTCGAGAGACGTGCGTTTCCTCGTACAATACGTCGCCATTCCTTTTTTTTCATCACCCCTCTCCCCTCAGCCCACGCAGGGCCTATGGCGCCGCCTGGTCCCCGCGTGCTACAGTTCGGCCATTCTGACAGGGTTTGGTCCCTCAAATCAATCTTAATATTGCACATTGAGCAAAATAGTCAACTTAAACGAATAAGCATTCTAGCTGATCAGAGTTTCTTATAAAAAGATAAATAAAAATGAAACGATCGGCGCGTAAAATAGTAATTGTAAACATGAAATTCAGACATTCGCCGATAACATAAATAATGAAAGGATGGTGTCCTACATAATATAATAGCGCCAGTTAACTTGAATAAATTATATCTATAACATAACTAAAAAAAGTATAAATATCCCGTTCAGGGATCTGCGACCACTTGCTACGGACGGAGATTGTTAACGTCCCACGTATCGCTGTATAATCGCTGGGTGTTCTGACATCCCGCTGGATCAGAAACAACGTATCTATCGTTACGCAGTACCCTAGAAATCTCGTAGGGACCCCGAAATTGAGGAATCATTTTCTTGTTTATTCCGGGTGTGCTTTCGAAGTTACGGATCATCACCAGATCCCCCTTTTCATATTTCTTCGGTGTCTTATGTCGGCTGTCATAATCTCTTTTCTGACGCTGCTGCGAAAGATGAGTGCGCTGCGCTGCCTGGTCACGAATGACATCGAGATCTCTAGTGGGTGGACTAATAACGGCCTGAACAACGTCTTTGAGACGGTCAACGCAAGGACCTCGTTGGTTAATACCAAAAACAAGCTGACTGGGAGTCGTATCCGTAGACCGATTGATAGTGTTATTGATAGCGTACTCTATTTCGGGCAATACTTTATACCACTGACGACCTTCTCTCAAATCCGATAGTTTAGCCATACAAGGAGCTATGATCCTATTGATGCGCTCCGCCTGCCCATTGGCCTGTGGCGATCCCACCGCGATCTTAATGTGCTGGATCTCCTGATCCTTAAGGAAATCTTCAAACTCCTGTGAGGTGAAAGCACTTCCGCGATCGGAAATGATTGTCTTGGGCTTGTTGTAAGTCTGGAAGAATTGCTGCAAGCAACTAATAGCTTCCCTTGCATTAGTACTTTTCGTAGGAAACAACCTAACGAACTTAGAAAAAGCATCTACAATTAATAATATATATTTCTTTAACGACACTCGATTATCTACTGGACCATAATGGTCAATATGAATGGTTTCGAACGGAAGATTTCCTTTAGGAATCGGATGCAAATGTCCCTCTCGCTTACCGCTTACAGGCGAAAATGATATACACTTCAGACAGTGCCGCACATGTTCCTCACACCTCTTCCGTATTCGCGGGAACCAATACGTTCGTCGAATAGCATCAATCATCTTTCCGGAGCCGACATGGCCCATCTCGTTGTGATAACGTACAGAACGTGTCTTACCATTGGTTCTGGCACAACAAATAAGAGATCGGTACCCTGTTTCTTGTATACCAATCCGTTTCGCAATTTGTAGTTCGCGTCCTCTGTTTCTAGTTTTCTGGCAATGTCCTTTATCGTGGGGTCTCGGCATTGCAATACTGTGAGGTTCCATTCAAATGGGTTGTCTTCAACCACCAACACTCCGAAAGATCTACTCAGCGCGTCTACATGGCCCATTTTCGTTCCTGGTCGATGTACTACTTTAAAATCGAAATTCTGGAGTTCAAGACTCCATCTTGCTATCCGAGCATTAATATCGCGTTTTTCTAAAGTCTGGGTCACAGCACTGCAATCCGATACAATAACAAATGGTATATCTTGCAAATAAACTCGAAACCTACGTACGGCGTACACTATGGCCAACGTTTCCAGCTCAAAGCTGTGGTATCGCGCTTCAACCTCGGCGGTTCGACGGCTAAAATAGAACACAGGGTGCATTTTCCTATCGCTCTGCTGCTGCACTGCCCCAAACCCATGAGCACTAGCATCACAATGGAGTTCTGTATGAGCTTTTGGATTGTAAACGGCCAAAATCGGGGCCTCCACTAATCTATTCTTTAACGTTACAAACGCTAGTCTTTCTTCCTCTCCAAATTTAAAAGTAATATCTTTTTTTAACAAATGATATAGCGGTCGGGCGATCAGAGAAAAGTCCCGTATGAACCTCCGAAAGTATGAAGCTAGCCCTACAAACGAGTGAACTTCCTTAGTGGTCTTGGGTTCGGGAAAGTTCTGCACCGCCGCAATACCTCTATCTGTGGGCTGTATTCCCTTCTCTGAAACTTTATATCTTAAATATTCAACTTCCTTGTACAGAAAGGCACATTTCTCCAATTTCAGCTCGAGTTTATTGCTAACCAGAATAGTGAAAACCTCTTTCAAAACGTCAATATGTGATTCTAACGTCTCAGTGGCTACTAAAATATCATCCATGTAGACCACGACATCACCCCGTTTTATTAATTCCGAAAACGCCTCATTAATGAAACGTTGGAACAACTGAGGCCCGATTTTGAGACCAAAGGGCATTTGCAGAAACTCGAACTGACCTAGTGGAGTCACAAAAGAGGTGTACCTTACCGATTCGCTCGCCATCACGACATGATAAAAACCGTCCTTCAAGTCCAGCGAACTATAGAAGCGTTTACCTCTTAATGCATCCAATTGATCGTCGATTAGGGGTAGTGGATAGTTGTCTCTTACTAAACCTTATTTAATGCGCGATAGTCCACACACATCCTAATCTCTTCCGATTTCTTCCGGGTTAGCACTACTGGAGAGGCGTATTCTGAAACACTTTTCCTAATTATACCTTCTAACAAATCGTTTAAAATTCGCTGTACCTTTTCTTTTTCCGCGAATCCTAACCTTCGAGGACCGAATTGTATCGGTTTATTGTCTTTTAAAATCAAAACGGCTTCTACTTGCACTTTAGGAGTTTCTGGTCGGATTAGCTCTACATAATAATCAATAAAAATACCCTCGACCAACTGTCGTACTTTTACAGGCATGTCACGATTTATATTAAGATTAGAGTAATCGGAATCGTTACCAATAAGTAATATTTCACTAACCGCTTTATCAAAATCCGGACTGTTTGTTAACCGATAGTTGAAAAGTCTCAATGTGTTTCTGCCAATTAGTAATGGAACAGTCATCGTGCGATCTGGCACTACTCCTACAGTTACCATTTTACTACAATCGTCCATCGTAATCGTGGCTTTAACTATCCCGCGTACCTGAAGCTTCGAATTATTTATGCCACGATATCTGTTCCATTCTTGTCCGGCAACTCGTATATCTTTACAACTTATTAAACTTTCCTGTACAAGAGTAATTGGACATCCCGTGTCAATTCTCGCCATGCACGAAAGCGGCGTTCGTCCTCGAACCTGCAGCTCAACCATTTGCTGAAATTCATCTCGAGGTTCCTCTTGAACATTCACCAGATGGATTCTGTCATCCTCTTCTGGATGATCCTCGTTCTCCGACTCGTCGCTCGTACTCTCTAACGGCTCCTCGTTGTCAACCAGACCTACTTGACGATCAGCCCGATCGGCTTTCTTGTTACCTGGCTTCTTCTTGTCCTTGTCTATTTCCTTGATTTTCTCTTTTTCCGTAGGACAGTTCTTCGCATAGTGGCCCATCTCTCCACATTGGAAGCATTTTGTCGCCCCTCTAGTTCCAAGCTTCGGACTTTCTCCAGAAACTGTTTTTGAATCGGTCCTGAGCTTCGGGCTTTTTGGTCCCAAGCCATCACTGCTTCCGGTGCTTCTAATTTAATCCCCCGCAACGCTTTTATTAACTCCTGCACCGTCGAAAACGAATGCATCTTCGCTTGATTTTTCAGAATCCTCCTGGGAATTCCCTCGATAACATAGTCAACTAACTCTTCTTCTGTTATCGGAACTTTGTTTCCTTTGATTATTTTGTCATGACAATAGTCGCTGAACGTTTCGTTCCTCTGCCACACTCGGTTTTCGAAATCACGTTTTCTTTCCAACCTGCTGATAGGTTGATTAAACATAGCGTCCATTTTTTCCAGTAGCCTATCTATCGTCGTTGACAGATGTTCCACGATTGAAAAATACCACTCAGCCGCTTTTCCGCGCAGCTTTGAATCGACCAATATCTTAGCCGCATTTTCGTCGAACTCGTACGTATCTCGCAGTAAGTTGACTTGAGCCTTCCACCTTTCGAAATCATCACCTGTCCCGTGATACTCGCTGAGAAGGTCACTGACATTTTTGATGCTCATGGTTGTACGAGAAACTGTCGACACGCTGCTTCTGGTAGTCGTACGCAGTAAGTCGTTTTCACGACGTAGTAACTCAATTTCTTTTTGCATTAGCTCGCGCTCTTTGGCTGCCAGCTCTGCCTCACGTTGGGTTAAACTCTCACTTCCCGGTGTAGCAGCTCTTCCGTTGTGTGTTACTACCTCCTCCTGGTTACCATTTTCCTCGCGATCCTCAGCCGGCTGTCTCCGAGCCGTTTCCTTCATCCACTCTCCAGAGGGGTCCGCTTGTTGCATCCTTGCAATCAACTCGGCTTTCCGTCCCGTCGTGGATAGCTCGTATTGCCGCAAAAGGTCTTTTAGCTGTGCCACACTAAGCGTATACGGATCCATCTCGTATAGCCTCTATTTGCACCACAAGCACTGGGCTGCACTCGTGCAGTTTCTGTCCTTGTCACGCCCTTAACTGTTACGCTTCTCTAACACGTTTTCTTCCTTCTTACCCGTTACACAGGTCGTTAACGACGTATTTCCGTCGAATACTGTGCCGAATGATCTCGAGTCACGAATCTCTTGAACCAGAAGTTTTCAGTCGCCCGCACACAGCCGAAACGATAACCTCTCTTTCCAGGCCACAGCCTATGCTTTGTTAGTACGCACACAGCAGCACTCTGTTTCCTCGAGTAGAAGTCTTCAGTCGTCCGCACACAGCCGAAACGAACTGCCAGCTTCTCTCGTCGAATCCCACTTCTGAATTTGTAGGAAGCCGGGCTTTACAGATAACTCGATGTGCTTATTGAACTCACTTTATTTCCAAAAACTGTCGAGAGACATGCGTTTCCTCATACAATACGTCGCCATTCCTTTTTTTTTCACCACCCCTCTCCCCTCAGCCCACGCAGGGCCTATGGCGCCGCCTGGCCCCCGCGTGCTACATATATGACTGGGCAATAAAACCAAATTCTTTGCCAAATATTTATGCTCGATTCTTCTCTAACGAAGATTACATTCGAGCCAAAGAATCATTAGAGAAACGATATATGAGAGCAAAGACAATAACAGGGACGCAAAAATATCATTGTGTAATTCCAGACGGAGAAGACACTTTGAGATTGAAAAAATTTTCGTTATCTGTTGAATCTCGAATTTATAAAATATTTAAACGTGTGAGAAAATAAATGCTACTGAATAAAAAAAACTTTATCAAGCATAATAAGTACTTTATTTCGGCTGTATCTTTTTCCTGAAATCAATCTGTGAACTAATTAATAATCACTATGTGTCAGATAATTATTAATAGTAGCTCCTGTGTATAGTATTTTTTTTTCAGATATTTTTCAACAAGGATAACTTAAATATGGAAACAGAAAAATCGAAAAAAAATAGATCCCATTGTTATCCCATTATCTACTTAGGCTTAAAAGTTGTGGAATGAATGACAGTTTTTCACAAAAAATTTTTAAGAAAATCGATCAGTACGTGTTTTTTGTAAATCAACAATTTATATTCAAAACTTGAAAATCTTATAGAAATACGGTTTGAAAAATTTTTTCGATATTTTTTATCAAAAGTGCGTTTAAAAAGAAAAATTTCAAAAAAAAACCGTCTCATTTGGCCAATTTTTCGCAAACTTATGGACGTCTAAAAAAACAGTAATATAATTTTTGAAAAATCGATATTATGAAAACCATTCGATAAAAAAAATTGAAAAAAATCATGGAGGCCTCTTTCAACCAATACTAAAACATAAAAAATTTTCAAAAAAATCGGCGATGCAAAAGCTAAATGGTGTCCGATTTGGCGTGTAATTTGCAATTAACAATTCCATATTTTTTCTTAAAAACAACTGTATGTTTTCTTTACACCAATTGATTCCTCTCATTATTTTGTACATAAAAGTATCAAGGTAAGATAATCGAAAAATGAATGGTTTACTAGATATTTTATGGTTTATGTAAAATTAAGAAATTAGTTCAAGCCTTATAACTCAAAAAGTACTTAATAAAAAGGTACCTAATTATAGTGTTTTGGAAAGCTCTCGAGATAAGCTACAAGAATATGCAATGAAAAATAGGGGGTTCCATTTAAGAAATTGAAGGTAATCTTTATGTGACCTTCAAATGACTATCCAAGGTCAAATTTTTTCCACCCATCTTCTGTCCCCCTCAAAGTCAAGCAACTTTTATTTGAAACATTTTGTTGTACATTCAAATATAAAAAAGTTATTGGGGTGGATCACTTAAAATGGCCCACCCTGTATATATATACAGGGTGTCCCATTTTAATCCATCCAGTCGAATATCCCGAAAACCAAATCCGAAAGAGAAAAATGTTTCAGACAAAAGTTGTATGGTTTCTAGGGGGACATAAGATGGTATCATTGGTTTGACCTTGAAGAGTTATTTGAAGGTCATATGAAGGTCACCTTCAATTTCTTAAATGGAACCTACATTTTCTCATTACATATTCTTGTAGCTTATCTCGAGAGCTTTCCAAAACACTATAATAAAATATTTTTTTATTGAGTACTTTCCAAGTTATGAGGCTTGAAATCATTTCTTAATTTTGCATAAACCATAAAATATCTAGTAAAATATGCATTTTTCGATTATCTTACCTTAATACATTTATGTACAAAATAATGAGAGAAATCAATTGGTGTAAAAAAACACATAGTTGTTTCAAAGAAAAAATATGTAATTGTTAATTGCAAATTACATATTTTTTCTTTGAAACAACTATGTGTTTTTTTACACCAATTAATTTCTCTCATTATTTTATACATAAAAGTATTAAAGCAAGATAATCGAAAAATGAGTATTTTACCAGATATATTACGGTTTATGTTAAATTAAGAAATGATTTCAAGCCTCATAACTCGAAAAGTACTCAATAAAAAAATATTTTATTATAGTGTTTTGGAAAGCTCTCGAGATAAGCTACAAGAATATGTAATGAGAAAATGTAGGTTCCATTTAAGAAATTGAAGGTGACCTTCAAATAACTCTTCAAGGTCAAACCAATGGTACCATCTTATGTCCCCCTAGAAACCATACAACTTTTGTCTGAAACCTTTTTCTCTCTCGGACTTGGTTTTCGGGATATTCGACTGGATGGATTAAAATGGGACACCCTGTATATATACAGGGTTGGGCAAAAGTCCGGAAACGGTCAAATATCTCGAAAAGGATCAACTATAGCGAAAAATTGTAAATAGCAAAGTTGTAGGGCTTAAAAAAATGTACCTAATGATGACTAAAAATTTTACTTTGAGTGGAGGACGAAGATCATATAAAAGTCAAATTGAATTTTTTAAATGGAACTGCCTACTTTTTATTGCATATTCTTATAGCTTATCTCGAGACCTTTCCAAAACACTATAATTAAGTACTCTTTTTATTAAGTACTTTTTGAGTTATAAGGCTTGAAATAATTTCTTAATTTTACATAAATCATAAAATATCTAGTAAACCATTCATTTTTCGATTATCTTACCTTCATACTTTTATGTACAAAATAATGAGAGGAATCAATTGGTGTAAAGAAAACACATAGTTGTTTCTAAGAAAAAATATGTAATTTGCAATTAACAATTCCATATTTTTTCTTAAAAACAACTATATGTTTTCTTTACACCAATTGATTCCTCTCATTATTTTGTACATAAAAGTATAAAGGTAAGATAATCGAAAAATGAATGGTTTACTAGATATTTTATGGTTTATGTAAAATTAAGAAATTATTTCAAGCCTTATAACTCAAAAAGTACTTAATAAAAAGAGTACTTAATTATAGTGTTTTGGAAAGTCTCGAGATAAGCTATAAGAATATGCAATAAAAAGTAGGCAGTTCCATTTAAAAAATTCAATTTGACTTTTATATGATCTTCGTCCTCCACTCAAAGTAAAATTTTTAGTCATCATTAGGTACATTTTTTTAAGCCCTACAACTTTGCTATTTACAATTTTTCGCTATAGTTGATCCTTTTCGAGATATTTGACCGTTTCTGGACTTTTGCCCAACCCTGTATATATATATATATATATATATATATATATATACAGGGTGTCCCTAAATTCGCGCCCACGGAGTACAAGGCGTGATACTTTAGGCTAAAAGAAATAACTTTTTCCTTTAGCAAAATTGCGTGCGATAAGTAGTTTTTGAAGGAGAGCAGGTTGAAGTAAACCAATAGACGTTCTGGTGTAAGTGGCGCTCAGGGCCGGCGCGCGCGCTTCGTTCACTTGTATCAAATTCTTGACTAGTATTTACAAGTAATGTTAAAACATTAATGCTTTGTTATAATTAGTTTACTATGAATTTATTTTTATCTTAATTATGATTTTATTTTAATTATACATATAATTAGTTAGATTATACTTAAGACTCAAAATGTAGAAAATTTTTCAAAATGTAAGAAAATGATGAAAAAAGAAAAAAATTTAGAAGAATAGAAACGCGTTTAGCTCGCAAAGCACATTACTATTTACATTTGTCTCTATTTTCAGATAGATCTACGAAATCAGACATTCTTTTATCTTTTATTACGTAAGAAATAAAAGCAATATTTATTTTGTTAATTATTCACTTTTTAAAGAATACAATATGGAAAAAGATCACGGTTCAGTATTCAAGTTGATTCTTATTATTTGAGTCTTAAGTATAATCTAACTAATTATATGTATAATTAAAATAAAATCATAACTAAGATAAAAATAAATTCATAGTAAACTAATTATAACAAAGCATTAATGTTTTAACATTATTTGTAAATACTAGTCAAGAATTTGATACAAGTGAGCGAAGCGCGCGCGCCGGCCCTGAGCGCCACTTACACCAAAACGCCTATTGGTTTACTTCAACCTGCTCTCCTTCAAAAACTACTTATCGCACGCAATTTTGCTAAAGGAAAAAGTTATTTCTTTTAGCCTAAAGTATCATGCCTTGTACTCCGTGGGCGCGAATTTAGGGACACCCTGTATATATATATATATATATATATATATATATATATACACGGTTTGGTTATAAAGTTTTAGGATTATCTTTACCAAATATAAAGAAGTTGTTATATCTTTAATTTTATTATTTATTTTTAAATATATATTCCTTCTAATTCTACACAGAATTTGACGTGCTCTTTTAGCTTGTATAAGGCATTCTAAAAAACTAAAACTGGGACGCTGTTTAATTGTTTTGTAACGTTGCTTTGAATTTGCTTTACATCGTTAAATCAGTCCTTTTAATTTTAATTTAAGTTTGAAGGAAAGAAAATAGTTAGCTAAGACCAAATTGGGAAAATAAAAGGAATTATAAAGCTCAGTCACATTTTCAGATGTTAAAAAGTGATTATAATGTTATACGCGGAACGTTATTATGGAGGAAAAAACTAATTCCCATTCTTTTTCATCTCAGGTTACACACGATTGATTATTGCAAGCAATTTTTCCATGACGGTCTTATAAAATTTAATTATTAAATTAAATTGGTATCCCTTGTAGAACAAATTCTTTGTTAATTATATTCAAAAATATTTAAACACACTGTAGGCTATAAAACCACTAGGCGCAGAACTATAACGCAAATTAATCAATATGGCAATATAAATTTAGATCAGAAACAATTTAAGAGAAATCACAAAAAATTATTTATTTTAAAAACAAAAGAGGGCAAACGTTTCGATCTGCTCCAGATCATTATCAATGCCAAGAATCGCAAAAGAAAAAAAGAAAAACATATAAATAAGTGAAAAAGCAAAAAAAGGCTACGAGGTCATCGATGTACATTAGGTCAGCAGATTTCGAAATAACGGATAAAGACGTCGCATATTTTTAAATTAATACATACAAAGCAGTCAAAAACGCGAAAAACTCAATAAAAACGCTCGGATTTACAAAATAACCGCAATCATGCTCGCTCGCACGTATGCTACTCACCAGAATAATGAAATAAAAACGCGGTGCGAAGCAAACACACAAAATACGTAGAAGCAGGAGTGCAAGCACCCATCCTCAATATGTAGCAAAAATTCCAAAGAGTCTTCAAAATGTAGCAAAATTCCAAAGAGTCTTCAAAGTTTAAATTAGATTCCAGAAAAAGCGATAGTCAAAATCTGAAAAATAAAGCAAGCGGAGCAACACACGCACAAGCAAGACACAATGCAGTAAACAGACAAATAAAATCAGACAAAATCATAGTAATGTTAAAAACGCCAGAAATCTTTAAGATGGAATGCAAGAAAATTTGCAATTAACTTAAAAAGAAAGCAATAGCAGGGAAACGAATTAATTGAGAGCAAAGCCAATACCTTGTAAATAAAAGCACAAGTATCTCGAGCGAGATCTCGGATCGAACTGAGCTACGATACGTAAAGGAATCCGGCGTGTGCCCCATCCCCCGAGCACACGAGAGGGGAGGAGGGGGAAAGAAAAGAAAAGCAGGAACGGATCTAAATATGAAAAATTGATATGTAGAAGAGAGATAAGAACTTGTTATAATTTAAAGGATTTAATGATGGGGAGGTAAACATTGTCTAATTTTTCGGTATCTTTCTGTACATTGAGCCCATTACTTTGCAGTGTAATATGGATCATTTCTGAGATAGATCTTCTAAAATAAGAAGAATCTTGATCCAAGATTTTTGCATTATCCCATGCAAATTCATGTCCCTCTAATCTGTGTTGAGACACCACTGACAAGGGCTCAGATGGTCTTGCTTTATTTTTCAGATTTTGACTATCGCTTTTTCTGGAATCTAATTTAAACTTTGAAGACTCTTTGGAATTTTGCTACATTTTGAAGACTCTTTGGAATTTTTGCTACATATTGAGGATGGGTGCTTGCACTCCTGCTTCTACGTATTTTGTGTTTGCTTCGCACCGCGTTTGTGTGTTTGCTTCGCACCGCGTTTTTATTTCATTATTCTGGTGAGTAGCATACGTGCGAGCGAGCATGATTGCGGTTATTTTGTAAATCCGAGCGTTTTCATTGAGTTTTTCGCGTTTTTGACTGCTTTGTATGTATTAATTTAAAAATATGCGACGTCTTTATCCGTTATTTCGAAATCTGCTGACCTAATGTACATCGACGACCTCGTAGCCTTTTTTTGCTTTTTCACTTATTTACATGTTTTTCTTTTTTTTCTTTTGCGATTCTTGGCATTGATAATGATCTGGAGCAGATCGAAACGTTTGCCCTCTTTTGTTTTTAAAATAAATAATTTTTTGTGATTTCTCTTAAATTGTTTCTGATCTAAATTTATATTGCCATATTGATTAATTTGCGTTATAGTTCTGCGCCTAGTGGTTTTATAGCCTACAGTGTGTTTAAATATTTTTGAATGTTTTATTTAAAATACCACTATGTTTTAATTCTAATTATTGTTAATTATACCTTTTGTGGACTTTTTTTACATTAATATTTATTTATTATTTATTTACATTATTATTTATTTCAATGATTTTTGGTTGCCAAGTTATTCTTGGCGAGGTCTAAGTTATCCTAATCTTCGCTAGTTTTTCTCCTCGACTATTTCTTGCTTCGGTTTGAGTTCCCCTAGATTTTCTGTTGGAGGAACGAGGAGTCCTTGGTGGAGATGCTCTAGGAGTCACCGGGAGGGGAGAAAATCTTCGAGAGAATCTTCTTTCGACCAGGTCTATTGGTATAAGTTTCCAGGGAAGAAACTGGATAACTTTCCGAGGGCCATAGAGGAAGATCTCCGAAGATCTGGATGGTCTAGTAGGTCTGGAAGATCTTGGAGATCTTGAAGATCTAGTAGGTCTCGGAGGTATTGATGGTCTGGAAGATTAGGCAGGATCTGGACGTCTCGAGGATCTAGAAGGTCTGAAGGATCTTGAAGACTCGAGAGTCTGAAGGATCTGGGAGACTCGAGGTTCTTGAAGGTCTAGAGGATCTTGAGGACTCGAGGATCTCGAAGATCTGGAGGATCTGGAGGACTCGAGGTTCTCGAAGATCTGGATGACTCGAGGTTCTCGAAGATCTGGAGGATCTGGAGGACTCGAGGTTCTCGAAGATCTGGAGGATCTGGATGACTCGAGGTTCTCGAAGATCTGGAGGATCTGGAGGACTCGAGGTTCTCGAAGATCTGGAGGATCTGGATGACTCGAGGTTCTCGAAGATCTGGAGGATCTGGAGGACTCGAGGTTCTCGAAGATCTGGATGACTCGAGGTTCTGGAAGATCTGGAGATCTCGTGGATCTCGTAAATCTGGAAGGTCTCGGAGAATCTCGAAGGTCTCGGAGGAGAGAATAATCACAAGGGGCAAAAGAGAATTCGCTGAATAGCTATAAGCTATTTGTTGCGAGGTTACAAGTGATTGATAAGTCGTTGACCGCATCTTCTTATATACACTTTTCAATGTTTTCCGATAGCGAGAAAATTATCTTAATCTGCCGCACCTTTCAGCGGCATTAATTAAAACTGATGTTGCGCCAACTTCATGATTCTAGTCAGCGCTTCCCGAGAACGTGCTCGATGTGGCGAGCGTCAGGTCGGCGCTTCCTGAGATCGCGCTCGATGTGACGAGCGTCAGGAACGCCACACGACCCCCTCCGCTGTATATTAGTTAGGGATTTGAAAACGGACCGGTGGTTTGGAAGTCCGACCGCTGCGCGTCCGAAGTTTTTCCGGTTGCGGTTTATCCGTTATTTTCTGTTGATTTGTTAAGATATTATCTTCTTCAAGGATGTAAGCTGGTTTAACTCTATCTATGTACACATTGATATTCTTGCCATTCTTGTTGATAGTGATAACTTTTTCGTTTCTTTTTAGTACTTTATAAGACCCTTCATACGGAGATCGAAGGCCTCCCCCAAGTGTCTCGTTACGCACAAAAACATGTGTTGTTGTTCTCATATCTTTGAAAATAAAGGTAGTTGTTCCTCCGTGTCTTTTGATCTCTTGAGGTTTTAATTTTTGTATGTTTTTCCTAAGTTCTTCCAAAACTTCCCCTTGGTTTTCTTCAAGAACTTCAGGAATATTTTTTTGTAAGAATTGGCCTGGCAATTTGATTGGCTCTCCATAAACCATTTCTGCTGTTGTTGCTTGCAGATCCTCTTTCCATGCTGCTCTAATTCCCATTAATATTACAGGCAAAATTTCAACCCAATTTTCTGTTTGATGACATTTAATAGCTGTTTTTAGTTGTCTATGGAAACGTTCTACTAAACCGTTTGCTGCTGGGTGGTATGCTGTGGTCCTAAGATGCGTGGAGCCGGTTATTTGCATCAAACGTTTAAATAATTCTGCTTCAAACTGTCGGCCTTGGTCAGTAGTTATGCGTAACGGTATGCCAAATCTTGCCATCCAGTTTGAAAAAATGACTGTTGCTATAGTGTTTGCTGAAATGTCTGGAAGTGGTATCGCTTCAGGTCATCTTGTAAATCTGTCTATTATTGTAAGGCAGTATCGATGTCCTTTGGAGGATGGCATAGGTCCAATGATATCGACGTGAATGTGTTCGAAACGTCTTGAAGGAACTTGGAAATTTCCGATTGGTGCTTTATTATGCCTGGTAATTTTTGCTTTTTGGCATTGAAGACAGGCTTGCGCCCATTTGCGGCAATCGCGTTGAACTCCTGGCCAAACGAAACGTTGCATTATTAGTTTTGCAGTTGCTTTGATCCCAGGGTGTGAAAGACCATGCAACGATTGGAAAACTTTTCTTCGGAATGGTCTAGTTACAAATGGACGTGAGAATTTTGATTCTTCATCACAAAATAGCGTGATCTCTGTTCCTGGAATTGATACTTTTTTTAATTTTAGAGTTCCACTCCCATGCAGAAGTTCCAGGAGCTCTACATCGTCCTCTTGTGATTTAGCTAGCTCTTCGAAGTTTATCGCGTTATGAATGCTTTCCACTCTTGATAGGGTATCTGCTGTTATGTTTTCTTTCCCGGAAATGTGTTGAATATTCGTGGAAAATTGCCCAATAAATTCCAAATGGCGTGCTTGACGTGGAGAACTACGGAGGATCTTTGTTAAAAGCGTAAATGAGAGGTTTGTGGTCAGTATAAATTGTAAAATTTCGTCCTTCTAGGAGATGCCGGTAGTGTTTAACTGCTAAATAAATCGCTAACAGCTCCCTGTCGTAAGGACTGTATTTTCGTTGTGCTGGACTAAATTTTTTACTCATGAAAGCCAGAGGTTGCCAATCTTTTCCGATTCTTTGTTGTATTACTGCTCCCATAGCGTTATCGGAGGCATCAGTAGTTAGAGCTAACTCAGCCTGAGGGTCCGGATGAACTAGGAGTGTAGCTCGGGATAAACTCTTTTTTGTTTTTTCGAAAGCTTGTTCTAAATCTTGAGTCCACATAATGAGTGCTTTCTTTTTTTTAAAAGTGCCAGATAGTGTTTCATTTAACTTGGCTTGGTCCTCAGCTGCCCCAGGAATGAATCTTCTGTAAAAGTTTAACATTCCTAGGAATTGACGCATTTCTTTAACTGTCTTGGGTTTTGGGAAATTTTCAATTGCCTTCACTTTTTCAAGAAGAGGTTTGGTTCCTTCTGCTATAACCAAATATCCTAAGAACTTTACTTGGTTTTCCCCGAAAATGCATTTTGTTTGATTTATAATTAGGCCGTATTTGTCTAAACGCTGGAATACTTCCCGTAGATGTGTTTCATGTTCTTCTTCTGATTTAGATGCCACGAGGATGTCGTCAATATATGTATAGCAAAAATCTAGTCCATGCAAGACTTCGTTAATGAAACGCTGGAATGTTTGAGCTGCGTTGCGTAATCCAAAAGGCATATATTTGTATTCAAAAAGGCCGAAAGGAGTTGCAATTGCCGTTTTGGGAATATCTTCTTCATGTACAGGTATTTGATTGTATGCTCTAACCAAGTCTAAGGTTGAAAATACTCTTTTGCCTTCTAACGTCTGCGTGAAATCTTCTATGTGAGGTATTGGGTATCTGTCTGGTACGGTTCTTGCGTTTAATTTTCTATAATCTCCGCAAGGTCGCCAAGAATTTTCTTTTTTGGGTGCCATATGGAGAGGAGAGGCCCAGGGGCTTTTTGAGGGTTGAATTATCCCTTCGTTCAGTAAAAGATCGAACTCAGCTTTGGCTGCTTTTAATTTGTCGGGAGCTAAACGGCGTGGGCGCCATCCTTCTGGTGGACCTGTCGTGGTTTTGATGTAGTGGACTGTTGAGTGTCGAGTTTCTTTTCTGACTCCGCCTAATTTAGTTATGTCGGGAAATTCCGCAAGAAGGTTACGGTATTTTATCCGTTATGATAAAATTTTGATGGAGCTGATGTTCCCCTTCTCGCCAACGGGTTTAAGTTTTTGTGTAAAAAGTCCTGTTTTCCCGTCGATTAGTCGTCCTTTTTGTAAGTCTGGAAGCACGTGGTAAAAAGATAGAAAATCAGCGCCGATGAGTGGTTGTGTGACATCAGCTATGATAAACCGCCAAAGGAATGTTCTCCTTAGTCCAAAATTTGGTTCCAGCGTTATTTATCCAAAGGTGCGTATAATCGTTCCATTAGCTGCGTAAAGTTGATATGCGCTTGACCAAAGCGGACCTTGGACTAATTTGCGAGGATAGACGCTGACATCTGATCCCGTGTCTATCAGGTATGGGACTTTGGTTTTGATATCTGTGATTATGAGGCGGCAAGTATGAGGATTCGAGTCATTTGCCGCCATTAATGACTCTCCTCTTCGTTTTCCTTTTTGAATTTGCAAGGTTGCTGGCATTTATTAACCTTGTTTCCGAAACGTCGATGGTAATAACAGGTTTCCTCGTCTTCTTGACTTGTTTGATTTTGTGATTTACTCTGCGATCGTCTTCTTGGCGACCAATTTCTGGATCGGCTTCTAGAGCGATTAAATTGTCTTCTACTTAACTTTGCGACTTGCTCAGTTAATTTTTTTATTTGTTCCTCTAGCGTCTGCTTTTCGGTAGTACTGTTTGTAGTAGCTGCTATTGATCGGTTTGTTACTTCGGCAATTCGGTCGGCTTGTTCAGCAACTTCCTCTAGTCTGTCTTCTGACCTTGTTGTTAATATGATTTGCATTTGTGAGGGCAGTCGTCCAATCCATAAAGTGCGGAGAAGATGTTCCAGTATATTTGATCCGGCAAGTGTTCGCAAATGTCGTAGGAATTGAGATGGTTTTCTATCACCTAACTCTTCATGCTCAAGTAATTGGCGAGTTCGTTGTTCTTGAGTGATTGTCAAACGTTGTATAAGTGCTTTTTTAATTGTTTCATATTTTCCGGCTTCCGGGGGTTGCGTAATAATGTCTCTTACATCCCGAGCGTACTTAGTTTTAATGTGTGCTATAACATATAAATATTTTGTTGCGTCTTGTGTTATTCCTCCTAGTGTAAATTGGCCTTCTAGTTGAGCAAACCAGAGTTCAGGTTCTTCAGGCCAGAAAGGAGGTGCCTTGATTGCGAGGCGGCCAATTTGTTGGTTGTCTCCGTCCATGTCGGGGTCACCAGTTTTGTGGATCCCTTAGCTTTGGACTTTGTCGCGACCAGTTTCCCTGAGTTTGTTGCTGCTGGTTGTCAGCGTTCTCTGACCACGATTGTGGTATTTGGGGTTCCTTTACGCTTCTTTAGTCTCCCACCTCATGTGACTTGCCGGTCTCGGCAGTTTCTGTTGTTGCATTTGAGTAGCCTGTTGCTGCTCCACTTGTTTTATATTACCTTGCATATTTTGTTGGGAATGATGCAACTGCTGTTGCATCGTTTTATCTTGCCAATTTAAATTACTGTTAACATTGTTGCTCATTTTTCCGCTCGTATCTGACCATATATGTTGTTGATTATTGTCAACTGCTGGTTGTTGCCGTTGCATTTGCGTTTGTTGATGATGTTGTTGCTGCTGCGAAACCATTTGCCATTGGTTCTGCGTTTGTTGACCCATTTCCACGTAGCCTGGATATCCGTTAGAGCTGTGTAAACTCTGTGGGTCCGGTTGAAGTGGATACCCATGCATCTCGTTTCCCGACACGTTACTGGCGGCAATCGTGGCGAATCCTTTTACTTGCGTATCCGTGGGAGTTTGTTGTTGCTGCTGCTGTTGCGATGGCTGCTGTGGACCTCCCTGTTGCTGTTGCTAACTATCCATGTGCACCGAACTGTTGCGACTCGTCGGCGTTGTCGATGGAGGCGGTGCCATCGTCACTTCTTATGCTATTTGGTGACCAATTCGGTTGACTAGTCGGCGTGTCGGGCCATGACATTTGATTGGATGGCGTGAGTCTGGGAGATCTGGAGATCTCGTGGATCTCGTAGATCTGGAAGGTCTCGGAGAATCTCGAAGGTCTCGGAGGAGAGAATAATCACAAGGGTCAAAAGAGAATTCGCTGAATAGCTATAAGCTATTTGTTGCGAAGTTACAAGTGATTGATAAGTCGTTGACCGCATCTTCTTATATACACTTTTCAATGTTTTCCGATAGCGAGAAAATTATCTTAATCTGCCGCGCCTTTCAGCGGCATTAATTAAAACTGATGTTGCGTCAACTTCATGAATCTAGTCAGCGCTTCCTGAGAACGTGCTCGATGTGGCGAGCGTCAGGTCGGCGCTTCCTGAGATCGCGCTCGATGTGGCGAGCGTCAGGGACGCCACACCTTTCATATAAGAAAAGTAATGAGCATTGTTTTCATTCTTGACTATTAAAATCGAAGTATCTTCGCTCTTTGTGAATTTTTTTCAACGCATTCTGCACTTTTCTTATCATTTCATTTGTTTCTATAGCAATTTTACCGAATTTTACAAAACTTGATCACATATCGTTGGTCGATAAATGCTTCTGACGAGACAAAACAAACATGTCTTACAAAACAAGGTTTAAATATGAACTACACTGAACTAATATTTATAAAACTTAATAGAGACGTAGTTAAAGATTAATACAGGGTGTCTCAAAATGATCTGACATTTTAATTTATTAATAAAACATATTATTTATTTGAAAAGTACACATGTTTTTAGTTTAATATAAAGTACAAACATGGAAGTTATATGTGGAACACAATATCTGATAAATGGCCGCCTAGACTCTGTTTGCAAACGTTCATTCTTTTGACAAAATTTTCAATGACATTTTGGAATAATTGCGGACTAATTTCATTAATGGCACGTTTAATTTCTTCCTTCAACTCCAGAATGGTCTGTGGATCATTGGCATACACTTTTCCTTCAGAAAACCCCAAAGAAAGAAGTCCAATGGCGTCAAATCGCACGATCTTGGTGGCCAATTCATCGCCGCGGCGCGAAATAACACGACCATGAAACTTCGTCTGCAATAACTGCATTGTTTCGTCCGCAGTGAGGCAGGTTGCACCATCTTGTTGAAAGAATATGTCTTCCAAGTCTATACCGTTCAATTCTTTCCATAAGAAGTTGGTTATCATGTCACGATAACGAACACCATTGACGGTAACCGCATTTCCCGCAGCATTCTCGAAAAAGTACGGCCCAATCACTCCTCCAACCCAAAATCCGCACCAAACAGTGACTCGTGGTGGATGCATAGGAAGCTGTTGAATCACTTGTGGATTTTCGGTACCCCAAATTCGACAGTTTTGTTTATTCACGTACCCATTAAGTTGAAAATGCGCCTCATCGCTAAAGATGATTTTCTTCGAAAAATCACCATCGATTTGTTGATGCTCCAATATCCAATTGGCGAATATACGGCGCTGCGCATGGTCTGCTGGTTGCAGTTCTTGTGTCAATTGGATCTTGTAAGCATGCAAATGCAGATCTTTCGTCAAATTCGCTGCACAGAGGACCTTGAAATGTCCAATTGCTGAGCACGATGGCGTATCGAGGTGGAAGGATTTTCGTCAACACTCGCACTCACTGCGGCTACGTTTTCATTCGACCGACCACTACAAGAACGGCCACTACTTTTCGCGGTTAAAAGTGACCCACTAACCTCAAATTTTTTTATTAAATTCACCACAGCATTACGAGATGGTGCGTTATGATGACCACAAGACGTTCGGACTTTTCGAATCGTTTCTGCAAAATGTTCACCATATTTGTAGTGGATTTTCACAATTTCTATGCGTTGCTCGATCGTGTACTTCTCCACGACTAAACCTCAATACTTCCTGATGCCAGTTATTAAAGGTTAGTACGTTACGTCCGCTGCAAAAAAAATGGCGCGCAATTTAAAATGTCAGATCATTTTGAGACACCCTGTACAAAAGATTTCAAGTGACGAAAGATAGATAGCACTATTTAGGCAAGTTTTATAAAATTAATCCTAAAACTTTATAGCCAGACTGTGTATATATATATATATACAGGGTCTACCAAAAGTGTGGAAACCCCTAAATATCTCGGAAAATATACGTTTTACAGAAAAGTGTTTCCAACAAAAGTTGTAGGGTTTAAGAAGATCTATATACTGATTCTATCAGTTTGACCTTGGATGGCGTCGTCAAGGTCAGGTCAAGGTCACATTGACTTTTTTAAATGACACCCCCTACATTTGATTGCATATTCTTATAGCTTAATTCAAGAGCTTTCCAAAACACTATAATAATGTTCATTTTTATTAAGTACTTTGCGAGTTATGAGGGTTGAATGATAGAGTAGCGCCGGTATTAACATTATCCAAGGTGTACTACATGGAGGTTACTCGCTCGGATTTGCATCTGTTGTGTGTGTGATCCAGCTAACTAAGGCAAGATCGATTCCTCAACATATCCTCATATTTCGCTGAAGTCAAATTGCCAAAAAATTGCTCCATAAAACGTGTATGAAACGTCTCGTTAGTTCCTTCATTTACCGCTATGTGACGCACTACATGCAGTCTAACTCGCATTTAAAATTCAACTAAGAATGTATAAAGCTATCAAAGAACGAGCACCTTCTAACTTCAGCTTTGAGCAAGCAGAAATTAATTGTTATCGTCCAAATACAACGTACGATTAATTAAAATTAAACGTTTTAAAAATGGCTGGCGACTTGTCGGAACGTGAAAGAATCACTATCCTCATGATGCGTGGATGGGGTGATAACGAAAGATCGTTCTCTGATGTCGTTCGATTATTTAATGACACGTATCCGAACCGTCGAATTAATAAGTCCACTGTGTTAAAAACAATAGAACGTTTTAGACAAACTGGTAGCGTAAGAAATCGCTCTAAGTCAGGAAGACCATTGTCTGCAACCAACGAAGAAAAACAACTTGATGTTCTGCAGACATTTATTGAAGATCCCAATTCTAGTGTTCAGAGAATCGCTCAAACTCACGATATTGCTCCCATGTCGGTTTAGAGAATTTTAAAGAAGAACAAGTTCCATCCATATAAATTGCAATACGTTCAAGAATTGCAAAACGGAGATGAGGAGCGTCGTATACATTTCTGTGAAAGAATGATGGCACTAATAGATGTCCGGCCCATCTTCCCTTATCAAATTGTTTTCACAGACGAGGCAACTTTTACCTTAACGGGAGAAGTTAATAATCAAAATTTTCGTTTCTGGTCAGATGAGAATCCGAATTGGGTGCGGGAAACTCACACACAACATCCACAAAAAATAAATGTATGGTGCGGAATAATAGATGGCTATTTAATAGGGCCGTTTTTTTTTGAAGAATATTTGAACGCTCAAAGGTATGAGAGATTACTTGTTGATCAAATAATTCCAGCCATACAGAATACTTTTCCAAATAATTTCCAAGAAATATGGTTTCAGCATGATGGAGCTCCTGCTCATTTTGGTGCAGGACCACGTCGTATTTTAAATGAGACTTTTCCGCTACGGTGGATAGGAAGAAGGAACGGAAATGAGGGAGGAGAGGATTGGCCACCTCGGTCACCAGATCTAACTCCTCTTGATTATTATCTATGGGGATATCTGAAGAGTAAGGTTTACAGAACAAAACCTAAAACCATTCACGAATTGATACAGCGAATAAGGGATGAAATGGCTTTGATACCTTTTGAAACGAATCGTAAAGTCATTTCTACATTCTACCAAAGATTAGCATATTGTCAGGAAGTAAATGGCAGCCACTTTCAGCATTTACTTTAACACATTGAAACACATTTGCAATCGTTTGGTGCAACCTAACCTGATCTCTGTATACACGCACCGCACGCACGCACACGCACACATTTCGAACAATTATTATGATAAATGAGCATCCACAAATTTATTTACTGTTTACTATGTCGATTGCTTTCCAGGTCTTTAAATGCTCGATTGTAATTTGGTTGGGTCTTTGCTTTTGCTGACTGGATCCACGACCGATCTTGCCTTAGTTAGCTGGATCACACACACAACAGATGCAAATCCGAGCGAGTAACCTCCATGTAGTACACCTTGGATAATGTTAATACCGGCGCTACTCTATCATTCAACCCTCATAACTCGCAAAGTACTTAATAAAAATGAACATTATTATAGTGTTTTGGAAAGCTCTTGAATTAAGCTATAAGAATATGCAATCAAATG